TGTGGATGTGAATCATGTACACAAAAAATGGTGCATATTTCCATTATGTGAAAGCTGGTGCAGGAATTATGAATATTTTGTGTTTGTTTTTTTTCTTTTACTAATTTGAATTTATGAAAATAAAGGATTTTTGGAATTTGCTTGTAATAATAAAAATTGAAATGGGCTTTGGTTGAATGGGTTTTTTTAAATTTAATTTGTATGAATATGGATTTAATGGACATTAATAAAAAAAAAAAGGAAAAGTTGAATGGAAAAAAGAGATATGAGATGGATTAAATGATAAATGGATTGAATAATTGGACAAAAATTGAAAAAAAAGGATATTTGGAAATAAATGGTTAATGGATGAGAAAAACGCGAAGAATGTGGACTAGATGAATCAAGAAAAAGATCTTAAAACAACAAGGATGATTATGAATAATATTGAAAATGAATATTTGGACAAAAAGATTAGAAAAAATGGATTTAATTTGGATATTTGTGGATAACTAAATAAATAAAAAGGGGTTGGAAAATGGACATGGAAAGTGGCTTGAATTTGGACAATGAACAAAGTAATTGGATTTAAATGAAAGAAAATGGTTTAATGAGGATAATCAAATGTGAATTATAAACTAATGGAAATGGATATGGGCATGGAAGTGTAAAAGTGGGTAAGAGAGAACGGTTAACAAAAGTGAACTAAGTAGATGGATGAAAATGAACTTGTTAGGAATATGAACAACACATCCATGAAGCCTTCGCTTTCAAACCCAAACTCAATATTCCTTCATTAGCAAATCTCTAATCAAATGAGCACGACTACAACTCACAACCACCATCTGAATTAACTTGAAACCCTGTGTTGATTATTGAATCCACATTGAGGAACATAAACCTCCAGACGACCCAACACTGAACCCATAGTCACAAAGATCCTGACTTTTGAACTAGCTTTTCAATAACCAATGCTCAATAACCTGATAACTTCCACACATGGCAACTTGAATTTGGGTACACATCACTGTGAAAACAAACCACGTTACAGACAACTTGCAACAAGAGGAATTCCTTAATGTTTTGACCATGACTAGGTCAAACCTCCCCCTGATGTTGGTCGTGACTGCACAACCACGATTGACTTGAAACTACATCACCATCCATGATAACCTGATCTTCTATCCTGGATGAAAAATAAACCTTGATCTTGAGCCAACTAGAGATGAGTTCGCCAACAAACTTGAATCCAAGGACTGATGAAACCCTAGGCCCTTGACTCTGATTATGCAAGTTGTATGGATTTCAGAAAATCTATCTCTGGATATGTGTTCACTATGTTTGGGACAACAATCAGTTGGAAAGAAACACTCCAGAAGGTCGTTGCCTTATCAACCACTGAAGCAGGGTATGTTGCCCTAACTGAAGCTGTGAAGGAAACATTGTGGCTTGAAGGTTTTGCAAAGGAGCTAAAACTTCAAGGTCGAGTTATCATTGTTAAATATGATAGTCAAAGTGCAATACATCTATCGAAGAGTTCAGCCTATCATGAGCGAACCAAGCACATTGATGTGAGGCTGCATTTCGTCAGAGGGGTAATCGAGTGTGGAGAAGTCCAAGTGCTGAAGGTTTCGACAGATCATAATGTTGCTGATATGATCACCAAGACGTTGCCCAGTTGCAAGTTTTTCCACTGTATGCAGTTAATAAAGCTGCATGAAGAAAGTTAGTTTCTTGATGTTATAGAGTTAGATCCAAGGTGGAGATTTGTGAGATGTTGGATCGAACTCTAGTATGGTCGAAGTCTGTTCGCGAGTAATGCGTGTTATAGTCGAAGTTTGTTCTAACATGCATTAATCAATATTGCTAGGATTGTTAGCATATTGAATTGGGCCTTGCTTGTAAGCTCAATTGTTTAAGTTAGCTTGTAATGGATAATTGTTAAAAAAAACCATTAGGTTAGTGTGCTATTTTTCTTATAAATAGGATGCTAGTTTCTCAATCTTGTCATAAGGAAAAATAGGAAGATAAAATCCTAATTTCAAGAGAGAGAAGTTATTTTGTTATTCTTGTATACTTGTAATCTTGTTCTAAGAGAAAGGAAAGAATAGCAGTTTAATAACCAATCCTTGTTGTTCCTTGTTGTTTTACCTTGTTTTCTTTGTTAACCTAACTCTTGTGTGTTTCTTGAACAAGAGGAAACTGTTTATACTTTGTCTCAAGGTATCCGATTCACAACAAAACCATTGTGTGGTAATAGTCCATCCAATCAAATTAAATTATGATAGTTCATAAACTAATATAAATAAAAATTTACATTTTGAGATTTCATTGAATACATATGTGTAAAATTTACATTATTGATTTATATTATAGTGGTAAAAAAAATTTAAATATGCATGCTACCTCTGAAAGAGTACGGGTATTCCGAGGTCTTAAGGTCTTAGTAGATTTATAATAGTTTGTAAATGTTAGAGCTTGTCTACGGCGGCAAGAAGTCTTGTGCGGTGGTTTTATGGTGGTTTTGGAGATCCTACTCATATGAGATGAGAGACCCTGTTATGCAAGTGTGTTGCTTTAGGTGTTGAATATGTAAGTTATGATCTTTTCATTCTCCTGTTGAGGGAGAAGTATATATAGGAGCATTTTGGGCCTATGATTTAGGAAACTCTTTGAGGCAATATCCTCTACCATATAACTAAAGGAGATTGCTGACTACTTACTTTCTAGAAAGTTGTGGTATGACTTATTCTCATGTGACTAATGGGAGATACCAAAACTATACACATCATCTATCCCTAGAGAGAGCCCTCGCAGGAACTTTGAAGCTGCCCCTATTTGAGACTCTCACAAATATAACACTACACAGTCTCTCAAGCAAAATGAACTTCGAGATTAACACACAAAACAAAAAAGGGTATTAAACCTAAAAAAAATATAAAATATTTGTATAAGTATTTTGATTAGTTAAACTAATAAACTTATTATGTTTTTTAGAAAAATATTATCTAGGTGATCCTAAATTTCCTTTAAAAGCATGTCTCATCACACTCTATAAGGGAGAACGGTACCACTTACAAGAACACTATAGATATCCACCTCAAAACCCTCGTGGTTTATTCAACCATTGACATTCATCATTACGAATGTTGATTGAATATGCATTTGGGGTGTTGTAGAAATTTTTTCCAATTTTACAAACTTAGAAAAGCCTACATTTGATATTAAAAATATGAATAAATTCACCATTGCTTGTTGCATTTTACATAATTATTTGATGGTTGAAAATCCCAATCAAACTCTAATAAATGGGTTGCAAGATGAGCTTGCAAATAAAAGAGATTTTTAAGAGGGTAATCAAGATCAAAGAGAAGAAAGCGATGATACGATTAGTGCAGAGCCAATTAGAGATAATGTTGTTGGTTTTATGTAGCTAGATTATTAAAATTATTCTTAATGAATGTTACTCTTATGAACGATGTTTTAAACAATTTCATTTGAACTTGAATTTGTAATTTTTGAATTGAATTTTTATTTGTAATTTGTGGATTGAATTTTAGTGTTTTGAATCTTTACGTTTGAATTTATGCACAAATTGTTATATTTCTCATTATGTGTTTTCAGTAATAGACATGGAAGCAACCTTGAAGAGGCTAAGAAACTCAAAAGTCTAAAAATATGCAATTGGGTATCTGGTATGGATAAAGTTTTGCTTGATGCATATTTGCATCAACAAACATTGAGAAATAAAAATGGTAATAATATGACAACAAGCTCAATGGATAACATTCTTAAATAATTGAAGATTTACTTTTCAGACAAACTAATTTTCAAAGAAAAGATAAAAGATCACATGAAACACATCAAAACAAAGTTCAATTCTTGTTACATCCTTTTTCAGAATGACTTGAGTGGGTTTGAATGAGATTCAACGACAAATACGTGGATTGCTGAAGATGAAGTTTGGAACAATCTAATTGTATTATCCCTTTACCATATTATTTTTATTTGAGTTCACTCATTAAAAAATTTATGTGATGCATTGTCTAGTTCATTTTGATTTAGGAGAAATCTGAAGCTGTTGAATGGAAAAACAAGCCAGTAGTATTTTATGATAAATTGTCCAATTTTTTATAAAAAATATCGAGCAACAAGAGACTAAGAAGATACACCTGCTGAAATGAGAGTAAAAAAGACTGCAAATATTAAAAAAATGTTATGACACATCGATCAAAAAATAAATCATGTAGTTGAAACCAATAAAATTATTTGTAACTATAAAATGCAACCTGGCAAGGGGGTGTGAATTAATTTTTTTTTGTTGGATTTTTCTTTTTTTAAGCAAAAATTCTTTCCTTTGAATTTTTCTGAAACTAAGTTATTAAACTTAGAATAAAAACCGCAGGAATTAAAAAGTAAGAAAGTAAATGAAAGAATGATATATTTTAGTTTTCTTTATCAATCAATGATACATATAATTCCTTCACACATTGAATAATTTTTCACTATATTAAATTTTTATATAAACCTCACACAAACACGTCTCTTATAATCTTCTACCATAAATATCAAATTTATAATCAACTTTGAGAGACAAACACAAATAATATGATGGACAATAATTTTATCTTTGGCAATATGATTAATTAAAATCCGTTATTTTTCCAAATAAAATAAAACAAAATAAAATGATAATTATCTCATGTAAATCAAACTCTAAATATTAATTAAAAATAAATAAGAACGCCAAACAAAGGAATGTTAATTACCGGTAAGAGTAACATCTCAGCACCAAATCTCACGGTTTAAAGTATGTTAGACGTGTCCAAACACTACCCTTCTATTCATTCAGATGTGGATTCCTTGCAAACAGACAACAACACAACTAGTAATTTAATTCAATCCTCAAACTCGGGAAACCCTTTCTTCTCATTGCACTCTTTCTAAAACCCCTAAAACCTAAATAGATTTTTTCACTTTCTCCATCAAATCGATAACGAAGAAATATTCAATTCTTCCCGATGACCTCAAAGCTACTCACTTCCATCCTCCGTCACCATCTCACCAAAAAAACCAATCTCCTCCGCCGCCAACCACTTTCCACCGCTACTGCCACAGCGTTAGCCGAGCCTCAAATCCATGAAGAAACCTCCGGAATCACGATGAAGGGCGTGAAAATCTCCGGCAGACCCCTTTACCTAGATGTTCAAGCAACGTCACCGGTGGATCCTCGTGTTCTCGACGCTATGCTCCCTTTCAATATCTCTCGTTACGGAAACCCTCACTCTCGCACCCATTTCTACGGTTGGGAATCTGATAACGCCGTTGAACACGCTCGCTCCCAGGTCGCGGCCCTGATAAGCGCTTCTCCTAAAGAAATTGTCTTTACCTCGGGTGCTACTGAATCGAATAATATTTCTATTAAGGGTGTTATGCATTTTTACAAGGAGAAGAAACGGCATGTGATAACGACGCAGACGGAGCATAAGTGTGTGCTTGATTCGTGTCGGCATCTTCAGCAGGAGGGTTTTGAAGTTACTTATCTTCCGGTCGAGTCGGACGGGTTGGTTGATTTGGAGAAACTTAAGGCGGCAATTAGGCCGGATACTGGACTTGTTTCTGTTATGGCGGTGAATAATGAGATTGGGGTTGTTCAACCTATGGAGGAAATTGGAAAGATTTGTAAGGAGTTTAATGTTCCGTTTCATACCGATGCAGCTCAGGCTTTAGGGAAGATTCCTGTGGATGTTGATAAGTGGAATGTGAGTTTGATGTCGTTGAGTGGGCATAAGGTTTATGGACCGAAAGGGGTTGGAGCGTTGTATCTTAGGAGGAGACCTAGGATTCGCGTTGAGCCTCAGATGAATGGTGGTGGACAAGAGAGAGGGATTCGAAGTGGGACTTTGCCTACACCTTTGGTTGTTGGGATGGGTGCTGCTTGTGAGGTGGCTATGAAGGAGATGGAATATGATGAGAAGAGGATTTCTGCATTGCAGCAGAGGTTGCTTAATGGGATTAGAGATAAACTTGATGGGGTGGTGGTGAATGGGAGCATGGAAAGCCGATATGTTGGGAATCTTAATTTGTCATTTGCTTATGTTGAAGGGGAGAGTTTGCTTATGGGGTTGAAGGAGGTTGCTGTTTCAAGTGGTAGTGCTTGCACTAGTGCTAGTTTAGAGCCTTCTTATGTTTTGAGGGCATTGGGAGTTGAAGAAGATATGGCTCATACTTCTATTAGATTTGGAATCGGGAGGTTCACTACTGAGGATGAAATTGACAGGGCAGTTCAGCTCACAGTTACACAAGTCGAGAAGTTGAGGGAAATGAGTCCGCTTTATGAAATGGTGAAGGAAGGAATCAATATCAAGGATATTCAATGGTCGCAGCACTGATTATTGGTCAGTTTTTGGCTTCCGTTTTGAGTTTTCTTTTATTACTTATAATTTAGGATGAACCGTTTTAAGTTTGTATAATAAGTTAATCACTATATGATATTATATGCATTTTATTGACAAGTACCCAAATTCGACTGTGATTAAAAAACTGAATAAAACTCATGTTTATAATCTAGTGTAATGTTTTGATTTAGTTTGTTTGCACTGTGCCTTGTTGAACTTAGAATACGTATTTCCCATTACATACAGTGTATTATTGTTTTCTCATAAATTTCACATTTCATTCTCTTCTCATCAAGTGTTAGTATTCTGTTTTGTTGAATGTGTTAAAAAAGGTCTAATGAAAGGTAGTGTAAAAGTGTTAGACCTCTTATTGAGTGGTTATTGGGAGAGACCCAACTTACGAACATTTGGGAAGGGAGAGATCCAAGACTTTTGAATTCTTGGAAGGAACCAAACTGGTCTCTGTCAGTCTGTCTTTGTGTTATTTCCCTTCTGAAATTTTGTTTGTACCAATAAATATCAGAAAATTGTCCCAATTTTATTTCATTAAGAACCAGTTTCTATCAACGGGTATCAGAGCACGTTTCTTGGATCTATGGTACACCATGCCTGAAATGGAGTTTCGAGCATTTGGTGGAGAAGAAGATGCATACTGGTGGGTACTATGCATTGAGGAATAATTCGAGAAGAGGGAAACACCAGAGGAGGAGAAACTGGCAGAGGCGTTGAAGTTACGCAAAGGCTGTGCTCGCTGCGGCTGCACTTGTGGAATCAACAGGTTAGTTGGCGAACCTTTTGGCTTGCATTTATTTGGCGTTTCAAGCCGGAGTATCGAGACATACTGCCTATATCTATTGATGAAAAAGGGGACCCTGAAATAATAATTGAATCAGAGTCGTTAACCGCTCAGGTTCAATGGATGTTCAACAGCAAGACATCAATCAAGGAAATCCAAATGCAACAATAATAGAATAAAAGAAAGGCATTAACCAATGAAATCCAAATCCAACGATAATAGAAGAAAAGAAAGGTGGGAGAAAAATGGTGAAAGGGGCAGAAAATGTCCTCGGGAATGCCATGATTATGGATACAATGAAAGAGAGCAAAGCAAATTTGTACAAATTTATGGGTTTGGTTTTGGTAGACGCTTTAATGGACATAGTGTGAGTATTGAGGTCGAATCAAGGGCGGGATTAGACAACTGACATCCGCTGCCGCTGCCGCCAAGCCCCTTGATCCAGACTCATCAGTAGTGAAGGGTGGATTACATTCTGTTCTAATTGAACCGATGCTGTTAATACCCAGTGCTGTCATGCTATGCTTTTGGGTCAAACATACCACCCAAAACAGTGTGTATGATCCAGACATTACTTATCATGTTGCATGCCTTGCTTTGTTACTCTGTTTCAAGTTTATGGGACTCTCGTGGACACTTGTGTTATCCTTTAGTGTCACCTTGAGGACAAGGTGGATCTTTTGGGAGGAATATTCTTAGACCTTAAGAATTACTAGGAACTGAAACTGAATGTGGCTGTTCTATTCTATCAGGCGGTTATTTTTTAATTAGTAGTTACTGATTTTAATTTTAACATTTAGTAGCAGTTATTGAGTAGTTATTTGGGGCGTGAATAAAATGAGGGAACCGTAGGTTAGATGGGTTATTTGGAAAATTAAAAGAGGTTATTTGGAAGGGAGAGACCATGCTCTCGAATTCTTAGAGCAGTTAGTTGGTTAGAGGAGTATTTTGTATAATTTGGAGGATACAGAGATAGCAGGAAAGCATTTAGTATTGTAAACATTTAGTGATAAAGAAGTGACTATATTGTGGGAGTGAAGCCCTTGGAGGAGATTGATTGTGAACATTTAGTAATTGAGCAGTGAGCAGTGACTATGTTGTAGAAGGGGAACCCTTGGAGGAGGGTATCTCTCCTACACATAGGGGTGTGCGAAAAAATTGGTCCACCAGAACCATTTCTACAAAACCTGATGCACCTATGTTTAAAGCCCAAATTGTTTTGCATATAAACTGGCCCAGGTCCATTTCATTAAACCCCAAAAAACTGGTACTCAGATTAAAAACCAATATGCAAACGACAAGCCTGGTGTGTTCTTCAAACCTAATGCTCTCAGCTACCATCATGTCACTCCCATGGTTGCCAGTTCTTCATCTAGTACATTCCACTTTTGCTAAGAAAAAATCCGCACGTGCCAGAAAATGATAGAGTTTTCTATCTGATTTCGACATCGGTTTCATTCAACGTCACAGTCCAGTGATGTTCTTTTTATCTGGTAAAAGCCTCGATGCCAGAACGTGAATGGAAAGGTAAATCTCAGTAACTCTCCTGTCACACTGATTTTGCCTTTGAGAGATTGTGATTCAGTGATATCTTTTCTTCTGGAGGGATATCCCAGTACGCATGCAGTTCTAGCGATTTGGAATTGTTGGCGCAGAAGGTAAAATTTAGTTGATTAAATTGGAAACGAAGTAAGTGTCTCAGAAACACAGTTCTAAACTGTTAGATGGAGTCTGAAAACAGAGAAGTCACTGGGTTGAAAACCATGTTTTAATTAAAAACTAGTCTGGTCTGGGTTCAAACCGGTTTGAAACTGCTTCACAAGCAGGGACTGGTATTCTATAATAATGGATTGGTTTATCAAACCTGAACCAAAAAGTGGATTGGTGTATCGAAGCAAAGTAAAACTCATTTTTTTTGTAACACTTGTCTGAATTTTCAGTCACATGTTGTGAATGAGTGTCATGTGAGTGTTAGATACCGATTCAAAGAATGTCGAAACAAAGAAAAAAATAATTTTTTGGGGACATTTGTTTGATTTTTGCAACACTTGTTGTACGGGTGTCATAGCTTACAATATTAAATGCTTCCTCTAGATCTTTTTATGCTCCTATTTATACATATAATCCTCTAATTAACTAACTTCTCTAACTACTTGAATTCCTCTTTATTCTATATAGTAACAGAGTTTCAAGCTTGGAAGCTAATTGGGAATGCCTTGGCTTTTAGACGTTATGGGACAGTATGGTATTTTAGAGCATGTTATTCTTTCATGTATGAAACTTCCAATTTATGATATACCTTGAAATACAAGAATAGCATTGAGCTTCTTTTGTTTGTTAAGGAGGGTTCAAAAAATAGTTCAAGCGGGAGCTTGAGTAATGGTGAGTCTGAGGCCAAAATTTGTTGTTCTCTGCAGCTGTCCACTGTATTTTAAATTAATGAAACATCTTAAAGCAACTTGTGAACTCATGTCGCCATTTTCTATTATGAATGAAATCAAATAAGAACAGAATCTGTATTAACAAAGCAAAAGGGGAAAGATAAATCAAAGCAGTCTCGCATTACCATTCATTTCTTGTTCTTGCTTCTTTATTACGCTGTCAATGCGGTTATTTCTTGTTCTTGCTTCTTTATTACGCTGTCAATGCGGTTATGATTAGTGTTTTGTATATTATATCTCCCATGCGCTGATGGAATAGATTCTAGTTAATATAAGTTCAAATATCATTCTCCTAAAATGAATTGCGGGAAGTTGGAAATGGAAAATCTGTCGTTAGGAGCCAGTTTTAGAAATAGCTAATTAAGATAAGGTGTCAAAAAGTATATAAGAAAATGTGATCAGGGCTTGATATATAGGGGAAACTTTCCTGCACAAATTTTTAGTGGTGCAATACCTCCAAATCTTGTTGACTTGTATTTCCCTTTTTACAGTTTAGTGCTATTAGTATTGTGTCATCTTGTTTAGCTCCAAACTCTGAACTCAAACCATATAAAATCAAAAGAAAATGTGAACAGGGAAGGATATCTAGGGTAAACTTGGACCTAAGAAATAGAAGGAAGAATGTATGAGAATTATAGGCGACACAATATCGATCCTTCGGAGTTATAATAATGAACAAACTAGAAAAAACACATGTAAAATGAAATGTCACTCTGTCCACAAGAGCTTCACTGTGATTGGAAATCACAACTTTGATTCATTGAGTTAGATTTTTCAAATGTCTAAGAATAAAATTCATAATTGATTCTTGGTTGATCTCAAACCATGCCGGAAAGGATGCAATGCAGTGAAGGACGTCTACTCAGTTTCTATGGATTAGTGTGTCTATAAAACACTTTTATGCCCAAGCGAGTGATAGATACCCTTATCCAGTGGAGCCACTGAGGTGAAATGGAAGGAAAGTCCATTGATGATGTTATCAGACACATGGGTCTCGTTGTGATGCGCGTCTGATTGAAATCCTATGGCCCTCGAAATCACGGTGTCACTATAGTTTTGCACAGAACTCACCATCCATCCAAATATAGACATACTGTTGCAACTTGGTGATGAAAACGTGCACACTCAAACATGTTATACCATTTGCTTTATGAGTTAGTGGAGTTTCAGAGCTTCAGTACCATCAGCATCAGATAGGAACTAGAGCTTGAGTACCAGCATCAGATAGGAACTAGAGTATGAGTACCGTATGGTTCAGTGCAGTACCCTTTAACCACAGGGATGGGGCAACTTCAAAACCATGTAACTGATATTTACAGCACACAAAAAGGTTATGGAAATTGGAATCACAATTCCTTTTCATCCAGTGGTCCCTTATAATGAAGCTTTTCAGTTCTGTCTATTTTCTTGACCTTTGTACCAACATTCTCTTTTTTCATATCTAGTTCAAGATACGGTGTTCCTGGAGTTCCTTGCTTCACACCTCACGGGACTTCTAGCAACTATGTTGTATATTCTTCATCCCTTGATATCAACTTTTCTACCCCAAATTTTGGTTTTAAACTTAAAAATGACAACACAATAATTTGTTTAGATCTATGCATTTACTTTTAACTTAAGATTCTGTTTTTTCTGTTAACTTTTATGTTTGGAGTGTGAGATAATTACTTATTCATTCTGTTTATAATGATTTTGTCATCATAAAACAACCCAAATATCATGCAACAGCTGTCATAGAGTTAACTTTTTCATTCTTTTATGTTGTGTCTCAAACCAGTTCAATTTTTGGTTATTCAAAATTTATGCACAATTGCTTCTATATGCGCCATGAGGAAAATGGATATTTCACAAGGGAATACTGTGGTAGCTTATATTTATATAAAATGCTTGATGGGGTTCCAATTCGAGGGTCAAGTGAACATTTTGATTTTCGAGATTTTTTTAAAGAACAATACATTTTTGTGAGAATTATATCACATACTCATTCAAAATTTTAAGATAAAAGATGTGTTCTCCTATTTATAAATGCTTAAGTTTTCACATTTCTAATCAATGCGTGACTTTTTTACACTACTAACACTTGTAATTCTAAACACACTTTCTTAAGTGTGAGTCTATTTACAATATTATTCCTCAAGCAGAACTTATTTACACGTGTACCGCCGTTGACACTTCTCAACGGACCACCTATTCAGTAGAAAATTTCGATACAAGTGACCTAGTCCATTCACTTGAACAAGAAGTTTATGAAACCGCTATTGAAGTTACATTTCGGGGGTCAACACGAGGAATCATTTTTATTTTAGGATCTTTCTTTAAGAGCATTATATTTTTGTAAGACATATCACATACTCACCTAAAACAAAACTAAAAGGTAATAATAGGTGTGTGAATTTTTTCATTTATAAATGTTTAAATTATCATATTTTTAACCAATATAAAACTTTCTCACGCTACTTTCACTTGTTATTCTCAACCATACTTGCACAAATTAATAAAATACTAAACAATTATTCTAATGGATACGCATAAAATAGTATTTAGAAAAGGCTCCAGAAAAGAATTTAATCTATAATGGACCAATTATAATTGATATTTGTCGAGGAGGATTGCAATGAGTGTAAAGCTTACCATCACGAGTCAGTGAAAGATAGATTTAATATTTCTTTTAGTTTCGTATATTAATTTTGAAATTTATTTTGATTCTTTAATTTTAAAAATGTCCGTATTAATCTTTTAATTTTTTAAAATGTATTATGTTAGTTATTTTTATCTAATTAACGACGAATTTAAGGATTGATTTTTAGATTTTTTAGTCAGTAATTAGATAAAAATGATTAACATGATATGTTTTGAAAAATTAGGGAATCAAAATAACTTTTTTTTAAGTTAAAAGACAAAAATGAACTTTGAGGTTGGAAAAAGATATCAAGTGCTATGTAATATATCGACTATTACTAGATTAGCTTATCATTAATCAAATTTTTTTTGTGAACTCAAATGTTACACTGCCAACAATCATACCATTTCCAAACTTGATAATAAACAAGAGATTTAGTCATCTTCCCACTTTGTCACAAGTTTTCTTTTATTTTCCTTTTCATTTAATGTGAGAAAAGAATCTAAGTGATAATAAATAAGTCATTTCTCTTCCATCGTTTCAAATTCCTAAAAAGAAGAAAGTGAAGTCTGTGAAACTCCCCCGCAGGTTTTGCTATACTCAAAACCGCATCTGTTTTCTAACTATTGATATACCAAAATATGCATGAGAATGGAAACTATGTTACATCATGTGACTCCTCATGGTCTTGTCATTTTAAATACAATTCACAAAACTTGAGTTTTCTTCTCTGCATTCATTGAAAAACACTACAGTAGTTTACTTCAATAGCACGGTTTTGGCAAAAAAAGCAAAGAAAATTTTGTAGTGGCATTGGAAAATGTTTAGCCATGCAGTTCATAACAATTATCATATCATCCAGTGGTTCACTTCAGTGTCTAGTTATCAGTGCCAATATCACATGAAAGAGCTAAAATAATTAGATACTAAGTATATTCATATACAGATGAACTACATTATAGAACAAATGAAATCAAGGGTTGAAAATAATGTTGCCACATTTGCATTTCCAACTCATTGGTTTGTAGTTTGAATTATCTTGTCTCTTGGCATAAGAACTTGCAGATAATGTTGAAGGGTTGATGTTTCTGTTCAGTGTTCTAGGATTTGTAGGAACTTGAATAGCTTCACAGTGTCCACAGAATCTGCATCTTGTCTCACATCTTGGCGGTCTCGAACCTATTCTTGCCCTCACCATCACCTTCTTATCACCTAATGTCTACAAGAATCGATATATGAATCAATCAAGGTGTCAGTTCAGTGATAAAAGTTCGACTTCATAATATATTCGTTTCGAGAACGGTTATAAAATTTACCTTGTGAGAATCATTATGGTTCAAAGTCTTTCTACCTGTTGGAACAAAAAAAAGAGAAGACAATGTTAGTTAATGTAGTTGGAGTTAGTATTTGTTAGGAAGATTTAGAGATTGTTAGTGTTACTACCTTCGGTGACAAGTTCCTTTTGGGTGAAGTTTGAAGTTATGAGAAAGAAAAGAGAAATGGTAATGAAATGATGAGATTGAAGCCTCATTTGAAAGGTGATGAAGAAAAGAGAATGTGAGAAGTGAAGGGAATGAAGGAAATAGCAGAAAATGAATAAAAGCATAGAAAAGTAGGAAGCAATATATTGGAAAGAAACATAGGCTTTTATGTTGAAGTGATGGAACAGAGAAGACAAAAGAGAAAATGCAGAAGGGGAAGAAAAGGAGGAGAGCACAGAAAAGGGTAACACTTCTTCTTTGGTTGACGAGCCTCCATCCAAAGAGTAATCCAAAAAAATATTCATTAATAATAATAATAATAATATTAAAAAATATTTATTAATAATAATAATAATAATAATAATAATAATAATAATAATAATAATAATAATAATAATAATAATCTAGTGATAGATGTTTGAGTCTTTAAAGTGTGCTCTTCTCAATGTCTAAGGTTTGAATTCAACTAGGTGATTAGTCAATCGCAAAGCCGAATACTAAGATTTTAAAAAAATAAAATAATAACAAAAAAAATTTTTTTTTAAAAGTTTTGGCAATGAAAAACAGAGATAGAGTTAATATAGGAACACAATAAAAGAAAGATGAAGGAAATTTTTAAAGTTAATTGTTCTAGGTGTTTATGTGAGTTCAATGAATATTATATGTTTTAATGTTAGAGGTTTGGGAGAGCAGTTAAGAAGAAAGAAGTTAGGAGGTTGATTTTGAAGAGGAAGTCATATATTGTGTGTATCCAAGAGATAAAACTTGAGGAAGCGGATCAAGCCTTATGTGATTATTTGTGGAGGTCCATTTTTGTGGGACTTTTATTTTTTCCATCTATGAGTGTTTCAGGTGAGATTTTGACCTATGGGATGTTAGTTATGTGGAGGTGGAGATTTCTTCCAGCTTTGACCATATCCTTATAACAATAGGGAGGTTCTTACATAATGATGAAGGTTGTTGCGAAGCAAATATTTACGCCTATGTGATAATATAAACCTATAATTTCTTTAAAATCAATTGGGCAGTTTCATTGATAATCACATTAAGGGTTTGAATGTGTGTGTGTGTGGAGACTTTAATTCTATTACACAGTAGACGAGAGAAAATGGAAAGGTGATTATGAAAGGTTGGAAGACATGAAAATATTTAATTCCTTCATTGATGATGCAAAGTTAATTGATCTTCTGGTTGTAGGGAGACAATTCACCTAGTTCGGGTTAGATGGATTTTCTATGAGGATATTAGATGGGTTCCTACTATTAGCTGAGTGGTGCAAAACTTGGCATAATATTTGTCAACAAGAATTGGCTAGGGGATCTTTGAGTATTGTTTGATTATTCTAAGCGTTGATGTATCCAATTAGGGACTACAACTGTTTCAAATGTTGAAATGTTGGGCTGATTTTCCAAGTTATCACAATTTTGTCAAAGAGAAGTGGCAAGTGCGCAATGTCTCTTGATGGGGGCTTTGTGTTGTGTTGTGAATATGATGTTTTGAAACAAAATATAAAAGGTTTCTTTATGATCAAGAAACGCATAAGGGTTAGGGTTAACAAAGAAAACAAGGTAAAACAATAAGGAACAACAAGGATTGGTTATAAACTGCTATTCTTTTCTTTCTCTATCAAACAAGATTACAAGTATACAAGAATAACAAATAACATCTCTCTCTTGAATTAGGATTTTATCTTCCTATTTTTCCTTATACAAGATGAGAGACTAGTATGCTATTTATAAGAAAAATAACACACTAATCTAATGAGATTTTTAATAATTATCAATTACAAGCTAACTTAAACAATTGGGCTCATAAGCAAGACCCAATTCAACATGCTAACAAACCTAACAATATTGATTAATGCATGTTAGAACAAACTTCGACTACAACACACATTACTCATGAACAAACTTCAATCATACTATAATTCGATCCAATATCTCACAAACCTCCACCTTGGATCTAACTTCATAACATCAAGAAACTATCTTTCTTCATGCAACTTTATCAACTGCATACAATGGAAAAACTTGCAACTGGGCAACATCTTGGTGATCATATCAGCAGCATTATGATCTGTCGAAACCTTCAGCACTTGGACTTCTCCATGCTCAATTACTCCTCTGACAAAATGCAGCCTTACATCAATGTGCTTGGTTTGCTCATGATATGATGAATTCTTCGACAAATGTATTGCACTTTGACTATCACATTTAACAGTGATAACTCGACCTTGAAGTTTCAGCTTCTTTGCAAAACCTTCAAGCCACAATGCTTCCTTCACAGTTTCCGTTAGAGCGATATCTTCCGCTTCAGTGGTAGATAAGACAACAACCTTCTGAAGTGTTGCTTTCCAAATGATTGTTGTCCCAAACATAGTGAAAACATATCCAAAAATAGATTTTCTGGAATCCATACAACCTGCATAATCAGAGTCAACATATTCTTCAATTGCTGCTTTTCTATCTTCACCCAAGGCTCCACCATAAATTAGGACTCTATTTTGAGACCCATTTATGTACCTTAGAATCCACTTCAATGCTTGGCAGTGTGCCTTTCTAGGATTCTCCATGTACCTGCTTACAAGACTTACTGCATATGCTATGTCGGGTCTAGTACAAACCATAACATACATCAAAGAATCCACTATATTAGCATATGAAATGCTATTCATATAAGTTCTTTCGACATTAGTGTTGGGGCACTGATCTATACTCAGCTTGAATTGAGGGTTTGTCGGAGTCACAACAGGCTTTGAATTCGACATACCATATTTTTCGAGAATCTTCCGTAGGTGCGCCTTTTGAGATAAGCATAATTTCGACTCCTTATTGAGTTCAGCCTTCACCCTCATTACATCTTCGACATTGTTGATTGTTATTAGAATATCATCCACATAATGCAACATAATAACAAATGAATTACCAGGTCGAAATCTAAAGTAAACACAGTGGTCGAGCTGACTTCTAATGAAACTTATGCGTGCCATGAAATTTTTGAATCTCCTATTTCACTGTCGAGGAGATTATTTCAGCCTATATAAAGATCTATTCAGTTTGCACACATAATCTTCCTTCCTTTTTTGACATACCCTTCAGGTTGCCCCATAAGGATTGTTTCATCTAAATCACCATACAGGAACACAGTCTTCACATCCATCTGTTCCAGTTCAAGGTCAAACTGGGCCACTGTGGCAAGCAATATTCAAATGGATCCGTGCTTCACAACAGGAGAGAACACATCATTAAAGTCGACACCTTCTTTCTGAGTGAACCCCCTAGCGACAAATCTTGCCTTGTATCTCTTCAACGCCACTCCTCTGATCCCTTCCTTAACTTTGAAAATCCATTTACATCTGACTAACTTGGCTCAGTAGGTTTCTTGATCAGTTTCCAGGCGTTGTTATCATAAAGAGATTTTATCTCATCATCCATGGCCTTCAGCCACTTAGTCTTCTTTCGAATCCTCATAACTTCCTTATAGTCTTTAGGTTCTTCGTCTATAACCTCACTTGTAGAGATTAAGGCATAAGATATAAGATCTGCATACCCAAGTCTCTGAGGCGGCTTGATGACTCTCCTCAACCTGTCTCTTGCTAGCAGGTAGTCATTATCAGTCACGTCATCTTCAACAACATCTTTTGCATCTTCTTCGACTTCATATAGGATACACAATTCAACATCAACATGCTCCACCTCAACAGGAATCTCTCCCGGTTCCAGCTCTTCGTCAGCATCATCAATTTTCTTGAAAGCCATCTCTGCTTCATTGAAAACCACATCTCGACTGGTGATACACCTCCTGTGACCTGGCTCTAGGAACCATAGCCTATAAGCTTTGACTCCTTCAGCGTATCCCATGAACATGCATTTCAAAGCTCTAGGTTCAACCTTGTCTTGCATAATATGAGCATAGGCCACACAACTAAATACTCTTAGTTTTTTGAGACTAGATGGATGTCCCGACGAAACTTCTTCAGGTGTCTTTATTCCCAAGGCAGTCGAGGGACATCTATTTATCAGATAGGCTGTTGTGGAAACAGCCTCCGCCCAAAACAACTTCTTCAATTCAACACTAACCAACATGCATCTAACCCTTTCAAGGATTGTTCGATTGAATCTCTCAGCTAAACCATTTTGTTAAGGAGTACCTGCTACAGTCTCATGCCTTACAATCCCAAACTCAACATAGTAACTGTCGAACGCTTCGTTGTAGAACTCAAGGCCGTTGTTGGTTCTCAACCTCTTAACCTTTCTGTCAGTTTGAGTTTCGACCAGAACCTTGCAATTTTTGAAATTCTCAAAAGTTTCATCCTTCGTCTTCTAGATGAATACCCATAGCTTTCTGGAATAGTCATCAACGATGGATAGAAAATACCTTGCACCTGAGTGTGAAGGATTCCTTGTTGGCCCCCAAAAATCAGCATGAATGTAATCTAGAAATCCATGTGTTCTTTGCTTGCCTTTGTTAAACTTTGCCCTTCAAGATTTACCAAATACACAAGATTCACAAAACTCCAACTTTTTGACTTTGTCACCTCCTAACAGGTTCTGCTTCCTCAATTCGACCAGGTCTCTTTCATTGACATGGCCCAATCTCATGTGCCATAATTCTGTCTTCGACACAGGTTTCGTGGATACAACATTTATCGAACCACTTACAACCTCAGCCTCAAGGAGATACAAACCTTGTTTCTTTACACCTCTCAAGACTTCCTTCTGAAGGTGAGATAATACTTAGAAGGGGGGGGGGGAGGGGGTTGAATAAGTATGAAAAATTAAGACTTGAAAATAATCACACAATTATTTTTATCCTGGTTCGTTTAATCAACTACTCCAGTCCACCCTTCCTAGAGTGATTTGCCTTTCTCAACAAGGACTTAATCCACTATTAAATCAAACTGATTACAATAGTAACACCTAAGAACAACAGTTCTTAGTCTTCTCAAGAGCTACTGATTCCAACTGAATCCTCTTAAGGAATATCCTTTACAATCAATGTAAATTAAATACAAGAGTATTAATGCTTCTATAAAGCTCTTATCACAACA